TGTATAACGTCCGTGTTACACCTAAGCTGGTAGTTGTGGGAAACACTACGCGAAACTGTTGACTAGTATGTTTACCTTGCTTTAAAAATTATACCACTGAATAAGTCTAACTTCCACCGAGGAGTCAACCGATGGATCCAACACGGCTAGGAAGCCTATGTGTCGGGATATTTATATAGAAGATTTATAAGATATAGAAAATGTCTCGTACACCACAAATCTGAGAAAATAAAACTGTACGTTAATAGATCTGAACAACTTATAAATATGGGAAAAGTTTCTGTTTTTCAGCCATTACAAGGATTTTAATAAAGATAGTATTTAAGGGGGTTTTAATACAATACCTTCTGACAATTTTATAGCGTTTGTTGTAGGTATTGCTGAAGCAAAAATTTCTCGAAAGAAATATTGTGTAAATATAGGTAGGTAGTGAAATATTAAAATGTGTTCAAGAGCTTATATTTGTTATGAAATACGAGTGCTTTCTAATAGATTATTTAAAGAAGCTATACATTTTTAGAATTTACCATTTAATTAAAAGCCACAACAAATTGTTGAAGAACAATAATTATAAAAGTAAAATGTTTAGAATACGTAGTTTGTAAAAAAAAGTATCTGTGTACTTATGTACGCACGTAGAAAGTTATATTTCTTTAGCGTAACAAAACAAAAAACTTGAGAGTCCCACTGAAGTGGGCGTTTTTAGGTGTCGGTGTGCGCGTGCATCGTAAAAATTCACTCTCATCTTTTTTCCCAAACGCCCCAAAAGAAGTATAACTTCAAAAATATTATATCTTAAGTAAAAAAAAAGGTGATAAAGGTTTTATTTATTTAGTTTTATCCTCCTGTGCCAACCCTACCAAAATAGGTAAGCTTTGCCTCTGTACAGTTTCTATACTCATAGAACCACATGAAAGCGAGTGAGAGTAAATTATAAAAACAGCTAATTAAAAAATTAGCTGTTTTTACAATTTATATATATAATAAATTCCGTTCCTTGATGAACTACGGTCGATTGAAATTCGGTCGAAGGAACGCTATGGTGGGTACAAAACTTCAAGAAAGCTTGAATAACGCTTAGGGCTGAGCCATCTCTTAGTTAGTATGCTTGGGTATATTTCGGGAAAGCATCGACTTGTGTGAGATATTTTCCATTTATGACGGTAAGAAAATCAAGGTGGATTATTCTAAAGGGCTTAGTAAAGGATGGAACGACAGAGAACCTTTGCCTTATAAGTTTATGGTTATATTTGGCTCAACCACATATATTACATTTGTTGGCGCTTATAAATACTAATGGAGCGGGTTCGCTGGCGGGATGATACTATGAGAGAGCGCAGTGATAGCACAATGTCGAATAATAACACTTCTTCAGATTTTTTTGTCTATTTTTCCTTTTCCTTCTTATTCTGCTGAATTCGGAATGAATAATCACTTTTTTTCTGAAAGTGTATGCTGTTGGCCCTGCGGTCTTTACAACTTCATCGAAATAGGCTCGTAAATGGGGACTTACGAGCTATTGAGTGCAACGATACCGGGGTGCCTCGGGACTGCAGTATACTATAATTTTATATAAGGAGTTAGTTATACATCGTCGCTAACAACATTCATTAATATATTCGGCTATGCGTTCTATCATTTTAGGCTAAAAGTATCTAGAAAATAACGCAAAAAAAGCATACGGTAATATCTCGATGGTTGGTTTTGCCCTAAACTCTAAATAACTCAAAAATATCCTGATTTTTGAGTTATTTAGAGTTATTTCCTGTTGGCGTAAGTATTCTTTCTCATTTTCTAGCTCTGTTATGGTTAGCATAAGTATCAAAGCAAAACTTTTGAAGGTATCGTGTATTATAGGCATAATTGTGTACATAGCCAAATGAGGGTATATTATAACATCAGTTTTTATTTTAAGGTTCACGTGTTTCTTTATTGTGGTAATGACGTCATTTTCAAGATTCGAAACGGAGAGTTAGATAGTCGTAAAAGTCTATGTCATAAACTGTTTTGTACTTGTAAGTCATTTTTTTAAATCCCCTACCAAAACTAAAGATATTTGTCGAGTAAATTTATATATGTAAGGTATTTCTAAAATAGGATTTTCATTACTAGTGTGAGCTGTTGCAGTACTAGAGCCTGAAATAGATGCAGGTTTCTCTGTAGGAATAACTACTAAAGAGCTCGTTAATCTTGACTCGCGATAAGGCGTCGGCATTGATGTTTAATTTGTCTTGCTTATAAATTATAGTGAAATTATATTTGCTTAATTTAAGTCTCCGAAGCGTAATCTAGAATTAGACTTCTTAAGATTCATAACCCACTGGAGCGGCTTATGATTATTAACAAGTGACAACTTTAAATTTTCTATAAAACAAGTACAGACGAAAGTATTTTGTTGCACAGATTATGGCCAACAGTTCCTTTTCAATAGTAGATATTGTAATTAACCCTATGTTTAAGTCCATCGATGCGTAAGAAGCTATGCGCTTGTTACACGTCAATGGCTGCGTGGCGCAGTGGCTTAGAAATTGAGTTGCAGCGCTAAGGGCCGCGGGTCCGAATCCCGCACGGAACAAGTATTTGCATGGCCTACAAATAATTGTTCCGGGTCTGGATGTTCGTCCTTGTGCAATTTATGTTTGTAACCTTCCCCCATGATACAGGAGAAAATCCTAGTGTGGATGTTACGTTACAAATTATATATTATACCTTATGAAAGAACAACTCCAATTGTAAAATTCGGAGCTTCACTAGTCAGTACAAGGTCTTTGTTAAAGTCAGGTTATGGTAAAATTGGGTCAATCGTGTGGTGTCGTAAGAAGCGATAGGAATAGATGACAAACCAGGAGATGAGATAATAGATAGATGTAGACGCGCGTTACCTGAAACAACTTGTGACACCCTGATTAATTTTGTTAAAATTAGTGTTTTCTTATCAAAACATTACTTACCGATCAAGCTATCTATTCTGTCTCTTATAAGTTTGCTTCCTTGAATCGTTTTTATAGCCTATTACTGTAAATTTCACTGAGGTAACTTCAAATTCAAGTAAATACCAGCGAAAGAAACAATCAATGCGCGTGTCCTTTTCTACTATGACTACTATCGTCGCTCTTGCAATTTCGAGACTGTTCATACTCGTGCTTACTGTTCTTACTCGCTAACGCGCGCTATAGGTATAGCTTGCTTATGTATACTTTAAGATAACTACTTATAAGTTTTAAATAAAAAAGACGTTTCCATAACTGTCTATACGATAAAATGCTTACAGCTACTTCACTGCACTCTCATTCGAGTTAAGTTCGAGAATGAGAATAATGCAAAGATATCTTTGAAATAATGACGTTTTATTTGGTTAAGATACCTATGATTTACTCCTTGAATAAAACGTAGTGATTATATACTCTTTGTCCTTGATAGTTTAGCTTACTACTTAAGTAATCTGTGGTCACATGAGTAAAGAAACCGTAAACCGTTTACAGAGCGTAGACAGCTAAGGAGCTGTCAAAATATTTACTTATTTTGGTTTTTGGTAGGGTTGATACAGAATGACAAAATTAAATAAGCAAAACGTTAATCAGCTTTTAGAATATTTTTTTATAAACTACTTTTTCTGAATATTAAATTTTTATAATTTTTGTTCTTCAACAATTTCTTGCGCCTTTTAATGAAATGGTAAATTATAATCTAACGTAAAGTTTTTTCAAATAACCTATTAGATAGCACTCACATGGCATAACAGATATATAATCTTGCACGCATTTTAAAACTTCAAAACCAATATTTACAATGTTCCTTTCGAGATCAAAATATTCGCGAAATTTTTATTCAAACAATTCATACATGCCTTTCAGTTACATTCTCACATTGGCTGGAACTTGAATAAGTGCCGCCATTTGTTGGCAGGTTAAGTGTTGAAAAAGTAGAGAAAGTAAGCTATTTTTTAGAATGCTTAACAGGTACAGGATTTTTCGAAGTGATCCTCAAAGATTCTATATTGTTGCCTTTTTTATGATCAAAAAGTTTTGAAAGAAGATCTTCTTGTCCAACAGCTTTTTACCATTCTTGTCGTCTGAAATTATAATGAAAAAAGATGAACCTACTTATATAATTTATAAACGCAATTATTAAATTTTAAACATTATTAAAATAACTATTCAATCACTCATAAGTATAATCACTCCTAGGTATTGCTACCTTTTCTTTTAATTTTGAGTTATATGTATGAGGTATCTATCTGCTAATTAAAAATAATAAATTATGTTTAAGTTACAACTTACCTGGTGGAGTCTTTGGGATAATTAAAAATGATATATTTTTGTTCTATTATTGACAAACAATACAGTAAACCATATTTACACAGTTTTATATTTCATTTGATACGAATAATAATTCTTTGAAAAACCAAATTTGACACTTATTAATAATAAGTGTAAAAATAATAAGTTATGGTCGAGCCGGTTTAAAGCAGTTTCTCTCTGTACGTGACGAGCCGCCAGTGTTCACGCACGCACGCGACTCAAGTTTGTAGTAGTGTAACTATTACAGCGCGGTTGTATGAAGCTTTGCCTCTGTAAGGTACGGTTTCTTTACTCATGTGCTGTGATTTACTAATTGAAGTGTTGGCGGGAACTTGACCGGCGGCGGATTACTGCTCCTGTATCATTGTTTAAATAATGGTTTGAAGTAGATTTTGATATGTAAAAGTGGTGACATTTTGTGTACTAAATGTCTACGCATGTGAACTATTAGTAGAAACGGTGACACAGGTGATCCTATAGTGATATGACTCTCAAGATAAGGTGTCTGTCTGCTTAGGCGCCTTGAAATACTATCGCCAACTGTCTGCTGGCTCAAGTTACCCTCAAAATCTCCCAAGAGCTGTGCAATGTGTCGCATCAACATATTGTGAAACAGTGTACTCTATTAGCTGAGAGGCTCAGAACGGCTAGAACCCAGAGCCGTAAAGCCAGTTATAAAAAATTGAGTTTGACATCTACATCTAAACAAAAACAAATATTCTAAAACTTAAAATATTTATTGAATGGATGTAAAATATTTAAACAACGATTGATGAAAATATATTTTTTTAATACAATCCTCTAGATAAAATGAGTTGCATACATTGCGGAAATAATTCTAAATACAAATGCCCGACGTGTCTACAACCTTAGTAAGTGCATCAATAAAAATTTACCTTGATAAAATTCTTATTGATAAAATTATGTATTGTAAAACATGTTATATTTTAAATTAGCCGGAGCCCCGAGCACGTCTCTTATATTAGACCCTGGGACGTATAGTAGTGATATGTACTATGGGCTGATAATTAAATTAAGTAATAAAAGACCACTGCTAAACATTGGCCTGCCTACTTTTTTCCATTATTGCCATATTTGACAGGCGGGTTGGCACCTAGTTTTTTTAATAATTTTGAGTTGTTGTTAGGAAGATACTAATGCCCATCTCATGTTTCAGTTTCCTTCATTGGCTCTTAGAACACCCATAGAACTGTATGTGTAAATGAATATTCTTACATTGCCACTATGTGACTGTTTTTAGTTTATTTTGAAATTTGATAGACTTGGTTGTTTGGGTTGGCTACCCCTAATGTTTTTGTAAAGCTATAGGCTCAGAGGGAGAGCAAACCCCCCCCCCCCCCCTCCCCCACTGTAACTAATCGCAGTCATCTGTGTGAGCCGAAGTGGCTGAGGCTGGTCACCAAATGCAACCAATACGCCAAAGCTCCGTAGGTGAGCATGGGTGCCTGTGATTTGTTACGCAAGAGCAAAGGAGCTGCACTTCCCGCAATGCTGAAACTGTTGCAGAAGTAACTTTGGGTCAATATTCCTGTGTAAATAAGGGATGACATGATTTTACAAAAAAAATCATTACTCATAAACTATACTTTACCGTAGAGGGGAAGGGTGGAGGGGGCTTCCCCTGAACCCAGCCCCACTCCTGTTCGCAAGTACCGATGTCTATAATTTTACTGATTGTTTTTACTAATTGATGCATGATACTTATTTGTTTCATTATTTTTTACTTTAGTTGTTCGGTTGCTTGCTATAAATGTCACAAAGAAAATCCTTGCTCTGCCCCCACTCCAACAGAGCCACCAGTAAATTATACTGAAGAAAATAAGATTGAATATGAATACCCAACAGAAGATACCGTGCCAATAGAAAAATTAAAGTTACTAGGTAATCTATCAACATACACATTTTATAATATGAATATAATATATATGTATATATATAATTTTTTTAAGCCTGCCTGCTTTGATTACTGCTGCATGCCTCTTGTATGTCTATCTCTGTTTAGCCTAATGGTTGACTGGGAGAGAATGCCCTATGCCATTAAGTCCACCATATGTAAAGCTTTGTGCATGAAAGTTTAAATAAATAAATAAATAAAAATGTTAAAGTTGAATATTGATGTTAAATAAAAATGAGCTGTGCAGCTTTAATAGGCCTCCAATATATCTGAACTATTTTTGATCTATTCTATCAGAAATTAATCTTGCTTAATATTGAAATTGCTAAGTTGGCTTCAAGAAGACATCACTTAGAAACCAATGTACTTGTGTTTGAAAATCAAATTGTGTAATTTATATTGCTGAGCCCAGATGATCAATAACATGTGAATTCCTGATTTAATTCTGGAAAAAAATGTTTAATATATTAGTTTTTACGTTTTTTAGTCATTACTAAATACCAATACCTGTTTTATTATTTATTACTGGATATAGTCTTCGTAGAGTTCTTATTTTTTTTCTTTTTACACAATATGTTACCCTCACTAAGATTTCTCTTGTATCATGGAGGTGCTTTACATACATATAATATGCACATGGATAAATATCCAGACCTGGAAGAAATTAATTGGAAGTCATACAATTTTATTGTTGTGGCCTATAAATAATTGTTTGTTGGGCCTATTTTATTATGCTAGTAATATTTATGTTAGTATAAGAAATAATATTTATAAATAACCTTTTTAAAATATTTCTTTTAACTTTCAGAACAGTCATCAGAACTTAAGAAATGTATAGAAAATCCTCACTTGAGAGAAATGTTGGAAATATTAGACAAATCCTCTCATCCTGATGCATTGATTAGAGAATATATGATAGAGCCTATATTCACTGAATTTGCTGATGCATGCTTAAATGTTGTGCAGCCAAAAAATGATGATTGCTAAATCTTAGACAGTAAACAGGTTACATTAAACAACACATGTTATAAAACTAGTTTGCACAAAGAGGAATTTAAGTCACACATCAAAAGATTTAATAAGGACCCAACATACTAGGACACTGACTGAAGACTCGCCACCATGGAACCAAACATTTAACACTAGTGTTGGGGAATTGGAAACATGGCTTTCGAAACTTTTAAAGCTTGATGCTAAGTGCATGCTTTTGAAACTTTTGAAGCTCGACCCTAAGTGCAACAAGCTGAAAACCAGACCATTTGAGGCCATTAACCACAAGACATTTAGAGGGGTGCTGATATGCACATAAGAGCCCATATTCCAGTCTGATACAGGCATTGAAGTCTCTATATAGGGACTCTAGTGCTTGTGTCAGGATCAACGGGGCCTACTCGGACTGGTTTGACATCCATAAAGGTGTCAGACAGGGCTGTGTGGCTTCCCCGTGGTTGTTCAACCTGTTTATGGACAGTTGTTTGGAAAATTTGAAAGTAGAAGAATGCGGGTTAAGAATGGGTGAGTTAACCGTCAAATGCCTTTTGTACGCCGATGATCAAGTCATACTTGCGTCGTCGGCAGCCGAGTTGCAAATGATGGTTACATTAATGAACAGGACATTAAAAGAAAAGGGAATGAAAGTGAACGCAAGTAAGACGAAAGTTATGGTTTTTGAAAGAGAAGAAAGTAAAACGATATGTGAAATAAGAATAGAAGGGGAGTTGGTAGAGCAAGTAGATGAGTTTGTATATTTGGGATGTGTGTTTAGCAGGGATGGTAGATATGATAAGGATATAGAACGACGAGTGAATGCAGGAAATAGAGTGAATGGGGCTCTACACTCTATTGTGAAAAGTCAGAATGTGTCCAAAAAGGCACGTATGGCAATTCACAATGCTGTGTTAGTACCTACTTTAATGTATGGTAGTGAAAGTTGGGTGTGGCAGAAGAAGCATGAGAGTAGAATAAATGCTGTAGAAATGCGGTCATTAAGGAGTATGTTAGGGATGAAGCTGAATGACAGAGTGAGAAATTGTTTAATAAGAGAAGAGTGTGGTTTGCAAGATGATGTTGTGACCAGGATTAAGAAAGGAATGCTTCGGTGGTTTGGCCATGTAGAAAGAATGAATGAGGAAAGAGTGACAAAGCAAATTTATGTTGCAGAGGTGAACGGCATAGTCGGGAAGGGTCGCCCTAGGCGAAAGTTTATCGACCAAATTGGCGATATATTAAAAATGGGCCAAATCAAGAGTACCTTTAACCGACGAGCGTGTATGCGTAGGTATATGGATGTGGAGGAAGCGAGAGAGGTGTGTCAGGATCGTGCCAAATGGAAGTCCATAATCTCTGCCTACCCCTCTGGGTGACAGGCGTGAGTGTTTATGTATTATTATGTATGTATTCCAGTCTTTCAATCATTTGACTCAGTAGCTAAGATTGAAATCAACTTTGTGCATTATTATTAGCTTTTTTTCTAATGTACTTTCTCTACTTTTAATACATCTTATTTGAATGTTGAATTTTATAAAAAAATTGTTGAAAACAGCTCTACTTGATTTCATGATCACACAAGTTTGGTACACTGGTTTTTTATAGAATAAGAGTGAAAATGAGCGCACAGTCCGCCTCATGGTAAGTGGATGCTGTGATCCATTCTATAGATATGTACATCTATCTTCAATTATAAATCAAAATGCAGATGTGGTGTCACCCCTGAGGACTAAAATGGAATGCCTCCTTTCCAGTAAAAATGGATTACGGTTCTGTACACTCTCCATTCAAAACACAGCAGCGATAAGCTGCTATTTTACACTGGTATTCTGTGAGGGTCTGGTCCTTCCCTAGTCAAGCCGACCCATTTTTTGCTACAACCATAATATAGCTGCAGCATGACTCTACCACATCATAAATCAATGTTGCATCAATGATATACTTACTTAAATAAACTCATACACCAACAACTCAAGTCTTGATGGCACAAGCTTTTTTTCGATATAAAAACTGCAAGGTCCTTAATGATACTAGCTATAACATTTGTTTTCGAATGTTTCTATCCACATTTGTAGAAAAACTTCAACATATATCCATATATTGTTATTTACAGATTAGAAGATATTATCAATGTAGCGTTTCATTTCATTTTGATGAAAAAAATAAACTGTATTCCTGACTTAAAACATATTATTTGCATGTTTTAAATTTAGCGCGCTATTATTTTAACAGGTAGTGTCACCTACAGGGAAAAAAATAAATAATGTTTACCAAAATAAATCGAAAACACAAAGTATAAAATTGATGTAGGCTGTGATTTGTGATATTTTGTTCTTTGTCTCTCAAAGGCTAAAAAATATATGAAAGAATGAAAATAATATTTAATAGCAATAAAACTTATAAGAAAATCATTTTATTAACAGACTACGCGTACTAGGCTATTGATATATAATATGGAACCAATTGATTTTTTCAAAGTAGCAATATAAAATGTTTTTTTAGAAAATATGGGTGGGATGGATTAATTAGTGTTTTCTTGATATACGGCTACTCATATTATCGTAAAAGTGCAATATGATTATGATAGCGGCATTTTAAGAACACAAAATTGCTTGAACTTGACGTGTCGAGAGTAAAGCACTACCTAATAACGCTTCGCGTTATGACGCGTGCAATATCCAACACAAAATATCTGAAAATGCTCTTGGATCTCTTAAAAACAATGTAAAGTACCTTTGCAAACAATTCCATAGGGACAGACATACCTACAGCTCATAAACGAATCATCACTGTACTTGGTAGTAAGTCAAACTCATTCACAAATTCTGTATGGACCTGTGTAATTACAGGCTTCGTTGTATAAAGTTGGCTGCAGGTGCCCATGGAATGCAGCGGTTGCTTGCCATCAGGTGTATTGCAAGTTCGTTTGTTACTTCAGTTCTATAAAAAAATATATACTTTAGATATTGAGGGTCTACGATACAAACTCACGAAAATTACCAATTTCGCCAGACAGGGTATGGAATCTCCCTTTCAGATTGGATTTTTACATGCTCAAGAAAAAAAGGAGCACATTGCAGGCGAGACACTTTTTATCACGTCTACGAGTCCAATGGATCCGAGCACGGGTCTAGTCAATTAAAACAGGATTTGCCATAATTGCCACATTTGATAGGCGAATTGGTGATGCTCGCAGTGCCAGCTTCCACGCCGCCATTTTAAGGAGGCATTTTTATCTTAGACGTCCCTAGCCTATTACGACACTCATGTGAAACTTGACTGAAACATAGTTGTGGAAACCAGCACATGTCAAAATTCGTGATACTAAGAAATTTAAGTATTGTAAGGGTTCCTCGAGGAGTTAGGCTCGAATAAACATAATTCCTGACTATACGCAAAGCGTAAAGATTCAGAATTAAAGAATCAGGATTAGCTCGAAATTTCTTCTTTAAGGGCAAAGAGCAAAGATTGTCGAGGAGTCAGAGTAAGCGCTTAGCCTAATGCCTCGTTTGAAATGCTGTTTCGTATGATGACTATGGAAGAAACTGAGACCCTTTTTACTACAAACAAGGCAGTCAGTCTTAGTCCTTAGGGCTGACAACGCATCTGCATTTTCAGTCTTCATTTTCACCGAGGATAGATGTAAATATCTATGGGCCACAGTAGAATTAACGATCCCAGCTGAATGTTTTGTACCTTCGACGCTACATGTTGCTCCCACTTTGTTATTTTAGAAATAACATGTAAAGAAATATACAGTACAGCAATTTATCGAGGCATGTACCATAGTTCATTCTTACGACTAGATCGAGTAATTTTCAGAACCACTGCTGAATATAGGCGTCCCCCATAGATTGCTCGTAAGAGGGATATTTGCCAAAGTTACCGCACTTGGGCATACGGATTGACAACCACAGTTTTTTATTCGCTCTATCGCCTTTTATCTTACTATCACATGCCATCCGCCTTAGTCTAAGTACCTTCTTACTGCCGAATAAAAAAAAGTTAAAGTTACAGTCTAGCCTCCTCTCATTCCTGAGTTTTTAGGGACAAGGAAATGTCCGCCGTGCTGCCCCAATGCGTGTTGGCGAACATGTCACATGTCTTGGAAATATTTTTGTTCTTATTTCTCAGACATGCCGGTTTCCTCTCGATGTTTTCCTTCACCGTCGAGCACGTGGTAAATTTGCACCTAAAATTGCAACTAACAATTTCATTGGTGCTGAGCGGGATCGAACCCTGGTTGCTCGCGTACTGTTAAATTTACAGCGAGCGCTTGGCCCCTGAGCTACCACGGCTAATGGCAACTAATTTTTTCTTTACATTTTAACAATATAAAATGCCAAATCAGACCTTGAAGCCAGGATGCACTTCTTAGTGTTCAAGAATATCCACGCGTCAGGCTTTAGGCGTCCGCCTTTGAACATTTATTGTGCAACTAAGTTGAAATAAATACATAGTGGTGGCCAAGAAAGGGTGCACCTCCCAATTCCATTGTTTATTCCTTTAGTGACCATAAAATGTGATTGAATGGACACTTTCCACCCTGTCCGATCACTAAAAAATATAGTTTTACAAGTGGACACTACAACTTGGCCATTTTAATCCTCCAGTGCAGCATCGGGTAATTGGTTGAATCATGGCCAGATCGTAGTTAAACTGCGCATGCAAAAGCATCTTTGATTTTTCCTCTGTCGGCTCCTTTGACGAAGACAAAACTGTTGAGTTAACTTAGGAAATCCAAAAATGTTGTTAAAAGATTGGATTGTTACTAACTACTGTTAAGATTTATTTCGAGAAAACTTCCTGTTATGATTTTATTTTCGAACTGGACTTGACTTACATATGACACAAAAAGTTTGTATTTAAGAAAAAATCGTGTTAAGATAATGATTTTCTTATCAAATTATTCAGAAAATGGAGACGACTTCCAAACTTTTTAACCGCAGGATATCGTCTCGTGAGTATTTTAAAGTTGACTATGGAAAACAAGTGTGCGTCAACAGTGAATGCGCGGCGACTAGGGCCTGCTGCGGACGCGACGGCGGGGGCGTGCAGTACCCACAGTGATGAGTCATGTTGTAGTGCTTAAACCGTATTTCAGGTGTTGCAAACCATGGCGATCATTACTAGACAGTTCGATCCTGATGGGAGATGTTGAACATAAGAGAGGGTGTGCACGAAATAAATAAAAACAGAAAAATAAATAGTGAATTTTTTACTTTGTATGAAGAATTGAGACCCTAGAAAATTCTTTGAGTACACACGAATGTCCGTGTCAACATTTGATTATATCATGAGTAAAATATCACCTTAAATCATCAAAAAAAATTGAAGACGCGCTTATGTCGAGCGATAAGACCGACCTGGTTTGATACTCCCGCCACCCGCGTATTGGGTCGCTTGCTGACTAGGCCCGCAGTGGGGCCATAACGTGCGGATAGGAACGTTTGAAAATGACGTTCGCTATCTCGCTCATGCCCGTCGCGCTAGGCCTTAGTCACTACACTATGGACGCAAACGGCGGTTTCATATGTTTGATACTTCGCGCTCGTCATCGCAACCGCGCTAGGTTCGCACTGTGGATCAGGGCAAAAAGTATAATAACTGCATCGGAACAGCCAGATGACAGTGATCGTAGTGTAGTAATAGATAATAAAAGCATATCCATCTAGGCAAATTCTCTTTTCGATGAGTTATAGAATAAGGGTGACAAACAAGCACACAGTCCACCTAATGGTAAGCGGATACTGTGGCCCATGGACATCTACATCTATCCCCGATTAAGAATCAAAATACAGATGCGTTCCCACCAAGAGGACAAAGATGAATGAAGAATGCCTAGTTTCCAGTAAAAAGGCTCTCCGGCTCTCTACACTCACCATACGAAACACAGCAGCATTGAGCTGCTATTCTGTGTGGACATTCATTACATTTACGGTTTATATTTATACAAAACTTACCAACATAACGGTTTTTACTATACTATTAAAGTAAGGCGTACGAATAAAAACATTAAAAGTGCAATTAATTTGATTTAATTCATAAAACAAATATTTAAATAAAACATTCGAGCGGAAAACGTTAAACGTCTGATAGCGCCGCTCGAAGCAAATTCTCGAATTCATAAGATTTCTTTCTTTCTTCTTCAAGTTGTTTTTCCAATTGTTTCATTGCGTCACTGCAATCATTGTATGACGAAATATTTTTATCAACTGCTTTTATACTCTCTTCAACTAAAGTACAGTCTTTGTCTTCAAGCATAAGATACTCCATTTCACTGTTATCTAATTTTCGTCGTTTTGCTTTAATAAATTGATCTAATTCATCGTCATATGCGATGATTTTGTGTTTCATACCGGAAACGACTTCAATGTCGTACAACCAGTTAACATTACGATATTCTTCCATAGACGCTTTATCGTATATTGCAAATCTGTTATCAAAATTGTGTAAACTATTTATTTTCTCATAAACAACTATATTCAAAAAATCGATCAAATTATACTGTTCGAAATTTTTACTGACATCTTCGCAAGGCATATCAAGATTAAAAAACTCGCTCGGCAGAAGTGCTAGAACTTTGCAAGCAACTTTTTCAGGGTTATCAAACCATCCTATTTGTTTACAATAGCTGCGTATTTGCTGTTGCATATTTATGGAGTTAGAGGGATGGAATTCGGATGGGGAGTTTATAAGTTTTAAACGTTTCATAAAATTTTTAATCGCGAGCACATTTTCGGAATGTTTTGTGCTACTTGGAATGAATTCATATGGTTTTGGATACGGTGAATCGTGGCTTAAGTATTGATCAAACTCCAGGGGAAATGATGGGTAGTTAAACAAGTCTTCATTTGTTATAACATCAGTTAATTTATCGACAGCTGCATTATAACATGTAATAAGTTTTTTTAAATCTGTACGAACGGTTACTATTCTACTATCGGTTTCTGATTTCAGCTTACACCAAATCTCATTAGCTAAATACCTCTGACATATTGATTTTAAATAATCAATTTCGATGGGAGGGTTTTTAGGACATTTTTTAGCCAACCATTTCAATGCACTTTTTATATTTGAATGTAAAGATTGGTTTAGTTTATGTTTTTCTACTACAAATATTTTGTAACACAATATGACATTATCATTCACTAACTTTTGTAAATTCTGCTCAAGTT